AAGAAGAGGAATGACCAAGTTTGTTACAGGCCTGATGCCACCGCTGACATCAGACTGCCCGAACAAAATTACGTGCAGTACGTTGAAGACCCTGGGATCATTCCAGCAACAAGGGATCATGAAACCGACGGTATTCACGCAATAAAATAAAAGAGTGATGTAACAGATCTACAGCTCTATGAGGTAAGGCTGGTTTATGGGGAGCTGAAGAAGAAGTCGGTATGTGTAAAGCACTGGCATCAGAGAGAAGAGTGGTGAGTAATGTGGCGAAGGAGTCAACATCGGCTGTTGTAGTAAGAGGTCGATCCATATCTGGTATGGCACTAGCAATGTGTGAAGCACATGATTTCCAGTCGGCAGAACGAAAATTTAGATGAGTCCGACGGGAAGCACGAAGAACAGACAAGGACTGCAAATGGACACAAAGTTCTATGGGGAGATGATCAGTATCAACCGGAGGACACATCTGGTGAGTGATAAAAAGAACCAAGTTGGAAGAAACAAAGACAAAATTAGGTGACGAAATAGAAATTGGACGACTAGGGGCAGGCAGTGGTAGCAAAGAACCAGAAAGGGAACTTAAGGAGGACTGAAAACGAACAAGTTCGGCAGAGGTACTACTGTGGTAGCTGACATCAGCAAGAAGAACATAGCTGCGAAAAGAGTGGTCCAGAAAGGAGAGAAAGACATTGGGTAAGGGAACTCCGGGACGTAAGTAGATAGTTGCAATAGTGATGATACGAGATGGGAAGTAAACAGTGGCTACCAAATGTTCAGAGTAATTGGACTGAGGAAGGGAATGTAGGCACACGGGAAGGCGAGTATGTGTAGCGATTGCCACACCTCCTCGGGCCCGACCCATAGGATGATCATGGCGATGAAGAGTGTACCCTGACAGATGGACCCTTTGAGTGGGTTTCAGAAAAGTTTCATTAAGGATAACACAATCATAGGAACCGCCGTCTAGCAAGATCTCCAGGAGGGGGAGGTTATGAAGAAAAGAGCGAATATTGACAAATAAAAACTTCAACTTGTAGTTTTTGCCAGATCCCATAGACGACGAAATAGGAAATTAGAGTTAAGTCCAGAATAAGTGGTATGCATGTGAAGGCGAAAGACAGTCTTAGCAGCACGGATAATATGATCTAGAACAAACGTACGTTGCATGATCGGACATAGAAGCAATATGATTTTTAACAAGGTGGCAAATGTGCAAAATCATATAAAAAATCACTCATTCCTCTGTTGGTTGAAGCTTTCTTGAATAAAAGTTATATTATCAACGAGCCTTTCATTAAGTTTCGTTCAACTATGAAAAAAGCTTTTCAGGCTTCATCATTTTTAAGTTAAGTTTTTCTTTATATGCTCACCACCTGCCACACACACCTTATTAATGAATATAACTAAATTGTTTCAGTGTGTTTAGGAAAGCTACCTAAGAAACTCAGCGAACAAATACCAAAATTTCTTCTCCTTTGAGACTACTTTGTAAAAGGTTGTTGGTGGTGGTTACTAAGCACAAAGGGCTATCTGTGCTCTGCCCATCACGGGTATCGAAACCCGGTTTCTAGTAGTATAATGCCGCAGACATACCACTGTGCCACTGGAGGGATTGCAAAAAGGAGTGGCGAGCGATAATACATCTAAGCCCAGGTCATGTTTACAGAAGTGAGCTCTTCTATAACACAAAACATCTTTATCAAAATATTCAGTTTAAAAGTATTTCATAAAGTATGATTTTCATTATTTTTTTAGTAAAATATATTTACGACAATACCTTAGGTCTCATTTTGCCGTTGAAACAAATACATGGTCAGTAGGGAATAATGAAATACCAGCATTAGAAAATACGTTTTGTGAACGTAAAATTGCAGATCATTGATGAGAATAAACGAGGTTTTTACTCTTTATTTTCACAAACAAGATATTTCTAACATGGCAAAGTTGTAGGTACATTTTTTATTTACAGTTTTGTTGCGTTCCCAATTCGATGGTATATAACTCCCAGCCCCCATAATTTACAATAAAAGTTACTACTTCATATATGGACACTAATGTCTTGTTCCAGCTTGCGAAACGTTAGCTGATGCAGAAAAACTATCATGATCTTTATCTCAAATAAATCGAGATTTATGATATCACTAGGGACATCAACGGAAATGGGGACAAGGTTTCGCATATGAAGTTCAAATAATAAATACAAAATCACAGAACACGTCTTTTCCTAGTATCAAAATTGCGGTGAAAGGGTCTGATGCCAGCTGTCAGAGCTTTAAGGCTCGCTGCAAAAATTCAGCTTGGATTAGTGAGTTTGTTGGAAAATAATATCCAGTAATATATAGCAGGTTTTG